GCTTTTCGTTTTGAAGAATCGAAGAAAATAAATCACTAAATCAATTATGATCCTAATCAACAATAAACAATATCACATGATTTTCGAAACTTTTTTGGGTGGCGATTTTACCCCGGTCTTATTTTTAATAAAACTTTCTATATACTTCTTTTTTGTTTATTCTTCGTAGTTTGAATTTTTTTAAAAAGTACTTTAAACTGTATAAAATAATGTAAAATTAAATTGATTTAAACAGTCAATCATACGAAAGTCTTCCTATGGGGTTTCACTGTCAAAAATATTTATATACATAATCGAAACGACCAGAACACTGATCGTGTACATGATAGATTACATAATGCTACAATTTTTCGGGTGATGAGACTAGGAAAATTCTACAACATATCCCATTACGGTGAAAATTTAAATTTTCACTTGCGGATTTTCATTCTGTGCCATTTAAATGTAAATTTAAGTGCCCGAAGCTTCATTCTCTTTGGCAGGACCCATAAAGTCATATAAAAATTCTTCCTCTTTGCTCCATACAAATTTACACATTTCAATCGACCAAGATTGGAATTTACTCTTACGTAATTTTGAAATTTTAGGATATGGCTTTTCATTCATTTTTTTTGATTTTTCTTTCCATGAATCTGTAGACGGATCATCATAAAAACAAATATATTTTACTCTTAATTTATCCTTAAACTTAGAATCTAAATCATTAAATTCTAATGATTTCTTAAGAAGGGCAAAATCATAAATCATCTCGACTTGATAGCCATATAGGCCACGCCTACTATTTTCGAGAGCCTCTTCAAAAGCGTTACTTAAAAAAAAAAAAAAAAAATTAGGGAGAAATAATAGAAATAATAATAATAAATAATAGGTTATAAGATTAAGAATTTACCCCATGAATGAAATGATTACATTTTGTAATATAATCACAAAAATAAAACTGCCAATTACACTAACTATAGTGAGTGGCCAAAAATTCCATATATCTAATGAAATTGAGGACCAATCATATACTGCAAGTATAGCACCAATAATACTTGAAAATGGGTTATCTGAATCCTCTCCGGTCATAGTATAAACTACATTTCCATTGGTAATTTCGTACGTTGTCGAAGATTTGCTTAATCCTATGTAATATGGATAGCCAAGAAGAATAAATCTAGATATACATAATTAATGCGTTATTTAAAAAAGTTTAATTTAAATTACAAAGTCACAGATGAATAAATTCAAGCATACAACTCACAATGATTATATTTAAAGTGTAAATATCGTTAATTGTGTAATATGAATAAAAACTAAAAATATTCATTTAAATAGGATTATCACCATTGCAATGATAGCTATAATAAAAATTGTCGTATGGTAATGACAATATTAAAGAGTATATCAAGATTCTGTGCAAAATCTAAGTTTTATATATAGTAATAATTATACATGTAAGCGTAGATAACCTTAATAAGAAAAAACATTAGTAAATACTGTACCTTCGAATACACGTAATAATAAAATCTTATGGCAGCACATAAATCAATATTTAGAAGACGGACAAACAATAAAACAAAATTGAATAATAAGTATATACTTACAAACTCGTATCAAAGAACCAAAATACTTAAGAAAATAATAAATGTCAGGCTTTGACTGTTTTCAGCGTTTTTAAATCCATTCTCAAATGTATAGTAACGAATCAAAATATAACTAGAGATAAATATTGGTATAATAATTGATAAAAGATCCATCAGATTAAAAAGATCTAAATATTTTTTTCCTTTATAATAACATTGTTTAAATTCAACCACAAAACGAAAATATGATAAATAATAAAATAGTACAATAGTTGTAATTATCAGAACATGTTGAAATGCATCAGTTATTTGAACATGGGCAATGTATATCCAAGAAATAATTGAATAGGTTAAGAGGTGCAAGGCAAAAATATACACGTCTTTTTGCCAATGTGATTTAGAAGAATATCACATCCAATTCATGACAACTCCCATTGATGGATTTTCATATAAAATGTCATGTTCATCTTTTTTCATAAATTTAATGAGTTCAATAAAGGGACTGTGATTGTGTTTCTCCCCTTTATATTTACTAGAAAGAATTAAATACTCTAGATAATTTGAAACTCGACAAAGAAGCCAGTACAAATTATAAATGCAATAATGGAAGATGCTAAAGACAATAACATATTTTCTTTCTCTTATATCCAATGATATTTCTTTGTCTGTTGTAAAATTTGGTAAAGGTACCATTTTGATATCATCAATTTTATCATAACTGTGGCAAATTCAAAATGAAATTGAATTAATTTACAGTATAATAACAACCGACTTTAAAGTTATTTTCATACCCGATCTTTTTTAGATCTAATTTAGAATCTTGTGGAATCAACTGTGTTATAGGTATAAAAATTTTTAATAAGCCACTTGACTTTGGTGAAATTTCAAGAAATTCAAAAGAGGATAGTTCGCATTTTGTGCTGCAAAAGCATGAACTATAAAATAATTTTCGAGCATAATATTCGCGTAATTCTATTGAAAGAAGGTTAATAAACAAGTTTATATATTTATATATTAATATGATAAAATTTATAGCAAACCAGATTTCAAATTAATTTCATTCTCATCTTTTTTATTCAAATTGCTTGTATATTTATTATAATAAGAACAGATTAACGAGTAGAGTCGAACAAGCCAATTACTATCATTATTCTCATCTGTAATATAAATATATGTTAATAAAACTTATGGCAAACCAAATTTCAAATTAATTCATATAAATATTATCACCTTTTTCTTTCACATTTTTCTTTTGATCTTTTTCTTTTTCATGCTTTTTTTCATTCTCTTCTTTTTCTTTTTCATTCATCTTATCATTTTCATCCTTTTCTTTTTCATTCATCTTATCATTTTCATCTTTTTCTTTTTCATTCATCTTATCATTCTCGCCTTTTTCTTTTCCATTCATCTTTTCATTACTCCCATATAACTTCGGTATGATGTCTACAACTGTATTCATCAATCCAATATTAAGATCTGCATAATTAGAATAGTAGTTTAAAAAAAAGTGCCAGCATAGTATGATCTTTGGGACAAGTAAAATGTTAGTTTAATGTGTATCTGGTATAGTACATTTACATGTGGTCAACGCGATTTTGAGTATACAAACCCGAAAACGCAGTTTCAATAGCATTTTTTTCACCTGACCAAGAATAATACTTAGGAATATGGATCGGTTCTCCAAAAGATAAAATGTCATTTACAAGTTCGTATTCCTTTGCCTCAATAAGAACAGTCATTAAATCAAAGCGAACATCTAACAACCGCCAAGCATTTGGATACAATCTAATAAATCTCAATATTATTCTTCGTGTTCGTTCGATGATATCAGTGAATTTTAATTTGTCCCAAAGTAACGTTTTAAACCTTTTAGGCTCCCTGTAAAAAGAAAAATATTTAAGTGTATAACAAGCATATTTTGCTACATTCATCAAATCATCTTCATCTTCCATTTTAATTTTAATTGCACTTTCCATTTCACCGATTTGAATTTTAAGCTTGAATTTCCCTGTGCAATACTCTATGTTTACTATTTTTATTTTTTTACGTTTCCATTTTTCTTCTTCATCTGAGTGCAGATAAAATAAAGGCACATAAATGAATTCAAGAGATCTTTCAGAACCTTGATCATACCAAACTTGAACTGAGCTGGTTCCAACTAGCAGCAGTTTTTTTTTCTCCTCATCAAGATAGAACGAATATCGTGGTTCATCTAAATCGAGATCCCCTAACCAGGGTTCAAGTGTATGATAATATTCATCTAATTTTTCGAATTTTGGTTTTTTAAAATGAAGATTTAAGATATGATCATGACGAGATTCTTGCCCTAGAAGATTTTCAAAATCTTTTCCTGATTGCAGCCTCCAATTTTGTTCAATAGTTTTCTTTGAATATTCATCTATGATTGAATCATCGTAAATAGCTAGTTTATCACTTTCACCAATTACCATGAATGAATTTGATCGTTCTATTACATAATAATAACCTTCATATAGGGCAGCTACTGGAGTTTTCAACAATTTCTTCAATTCAATAGAATTTCGTAATGAGTCGAAAATATTCCAGACAGCGGACAAACCACCACCCGTATATACAAGTAACATCTCGTCATTATGAAAAAAATGAATAAATGTTGATAGAGCTAGTATTTCACCATCCAACTCTTTTTGGGACTCTCCTAGTTTAAGACTGCATTCTGCTATTTCGATACCGCATTCGATCGAATATATTTTGATCCCTTGAGTCGCTAACGATACATATGCTAATAATTTGGCATTATTTGATATTGCATAAGTAGTGAAATCCAATATGGTCAGTATGTCTATAGCTTGTCTCTGAAAGGTATTTACTAATTGGTTTGTCTTTAAATCATAAAGTTCTATGTATTTGATGTCTTCTTCCATAGTATCAACCAGAAAATAATGCTTATTTATGCATCTTTCAATATAACTGTAAGTCATAAGACATTTTTCGTCTTCATCGCCACCATCGATTTCAACCAATGTATTAATATTACTAATGATAGTATTGTATATTCTTCTTGGATATTTTAACTTTTGTAACTTTTGTATGTTAATAGATTTATTCTTCATATCAATATGATACTTGTAAATTCCAGAAAACGCCAAAAGAATAAGTAAGTGTCCATCAGCGTTTTGACTACTGTTTTTATCAGCATTTTGACTACTGTTTTCTCTTTGTTTATCTTTTTTGGAAAATAATTTGACTATTCCACCACATTTAATCGGAAACGGTAATTCTTTATCACTAATCGAATAACCGTCATTGGTTTCGTGAATAATTAAAACAAAGGTACGTCCATGATTAGGAGTTTCTTCGGGATTTCTATTACTATAATTATAATCTA